CCGTAAAAAGAGGATCATCGTTCGGCTCTGATATATACGCAATCAGTTTATAAAAATTGATTTTTTCATATATTCACCGGAACTTTACTACTCGTTATACTTGACGATAGATGTCGCTCAGCATGTCTACAAAAATAATATACAACAATAATAAAGTAAAAAACTATGATGCGAAACCACGGATAATCATCTTCGTGTTCGATACTTTGCCGAAACTGTCCTGTAGTTACGCTTGGCGATACACATCACTCAGCATGTGTCATTATAATATTGTACAGTATATAATCAATCCAAGCACTAGAATGCAAAGTCCATCGTCTTAATAATATTCGATACTTGAACGAAATTGTCCTGCCGCTGCTTTACCTAACGTACTGTACAATGTGCAATTGTGTACATGCATCCATTGCATCGCTCAGCATTAACATGACATGTATAATATGATTAATTCAAGAATTATAATGCAGAGCACGGGCCTAGTTAATATAACACCGATGGACTCTGATAGCTAGTGTAAATGTCTTAAAGGATGATATACCACTCTGACTGTCAAAGCGGTATATGATCCTATCTTTGAAGACATTTACGCCAACTATCACTGCTGAAAGGAAACGGCAAATAAGCAGACAATCATCTGAATGTTGATTTTTTAGAACCTTGGTTGATACCAAGCGGTCATACACTCCGCTTAACATGTCCGCGAAAATAAGTTACAGCCATAATTATTAAGGAACTAGAACGCAAAGCACAGACAAGCATGTTAATGCAGATCTTTCGTACACTTTGCTGAAATATCCTAGCTACCGTGCTCTATCACAGCCTACTCCTGGTGATCCACATGGATTGAAAAGCACCAGCAATCATCCTCATGTCGTTACTTGGCCATGGACTACTATGACTTGACAGATACGGTACAGACTGTGTAATCTATGACACTATTGAGTTTCTCAATTCTTCCTACAGTCACCAAAATAATTATTATTTATTTACGATGTGCAAGTTGCCTACAACATGACTTCAAGCTTGTGGAATTGGAGGGTTTAGTGTCCATTTTTGAAAAGCTATCTCAAAATTGGTCAAGGATCCCTTTCCATTTTCCCGATGTCTGTCCATCTTGCATCCGTTGCCTTGAGCCTTGTACAGTTACTGTACTGATGTATCACCATAATATCACTGGATTTGACTGTATTCTAGGGGTGGAAAAAGAGTCTGGCCAGAGTGCCCAGATGTCGCTGCCACTCTCTTAGTATGCTAATAATGATTGGTAAGAAAGGAAATACTGGAGTATTGGCTCAACTCAAGTCTATAGCCAGCGATGTGATGTATGCGTATTTTGAGCATCAAAACCATAATCGCCTCCAAGTGATCGCAGTGAGGTTGAAGACGAATGGAATCTTAGCATTTGCAGGTATGCGGAGTGATATATTTATAAACATTGTGCCCTATTACCAGCTACTGTACCAGTAAGGACATATAGATTAATTATTGAGAATTAAATTGTAAATCTCCGATGGATGCAGTTGATAAAGTCCATTGTATAGTAGTAACGCGATGACATGGATGAGCCATCGAGGTATAATGAATGATTACATTATTGTACGATATGGAAAGTGTGCTGTAGAGATTGCTTAGTAATGGATTACCCAACTATAATCCTACTGAATGATGAGTCTATGCTCCTACTAAATTATGAGTTTATGCTGGTACAAATGATCAAATTCTACTAAAATTACAAATAAATTTATTTGCTCGCATTGCCCCTATCTAGTAGAGTGGGCATTATGGATACAGCGTAGGTAGGTGATAAAATAGGCTTTTAAAGTGATCGATGATTTTGTAGCGAGAATTTTACTTTGGGTCCATAAGAATAAAAGAATATACCAGAAAATGGAGTATAGACTTACGTATGTCGTATACTATGCACGTTCATTGAAAATCGAACAACGGCTACACTCTCAATATTGTGTCCATACTGTATAGCGATTGCATGCCTGCTGTTTGATGAAACAAACAATTTAGCATTGTTGGCTGTAAGAAAGTATAGGCTGAAACTGATTAATATTAATACATGAATACATTGCATGAATATTCTTGAAGAGCTATCAATCATTATGTCCACTATTGGTATCTGCTTTTAGGTTTTGAGCTATCAACAGATAGTTCATGACGAACTTACCACCGAGAGTTACTAGTAGCACAAACCCTAAATGCTTATGTAGAACATTATTCCTGTACGACGTACAGGAAAGTAAAGAGTGAGGAGTGTTTATCAAAGGTCGTCTGGAAATGTCAACATTCAATACTAGAGTCATATCAAATCTTTATCTTAGACACCTGTTAATGAAAGAGATAACTTTCTAATATTGTAGTCCTTTCTCAAATCAGATGTAAATCAATAGATAAATTCACGATGCAATACTGAAAATTAGTTTGCTTTGGATACAGTGTGTAGTGCGCACCATAATTATAGAGTATACAGTGGCGTCAATTGCATAGGCTATGATATCATGTTTCATGACCTAATTTATTATTTCAATAATATCATTATAGGCCCTGGTCATACATTTATTGCATTCACTGTAATTTCCCATATTGATCTATACGAATTACGAAAGAAGTTGCAAAATTTTAATATTGGCCCTCTAGAGTGCATTTAGTAATTGAAAAGTTAATCATGCATCCACCGTTAGCTGCTCACTTACATGAAAAGAAATGTCAACTTATTATCCAGCAATTAAGTGATTGCCATGTAGAGGTAATCCGAACCTTATTGTAAATGATGTAGATTGTTTGCTTTACTTGCTGTTTTTAGGAAATGAGCTCATAGGTACTATTTAAAAGGTGTAAATAAACAACCTGCGTACTTTTATTCAATTTTATCCTTATCATAGCATCCAGTAGCAAAATTCCTTGGTAAATGCAACGATATAAAACTAGCATTGAATGCGTGTCTACAAGAAGAGGTAATGTACTGCATACGTTTCTTCTGCTATAGTACATCGCATATCCCTGTTGTATCATAAAATGAATCAGCTTTAATTGCACGAGTGTGCTCTACAGTTCAGCATAATTTTCAATATTTCAAATCATATCGTTTGTTCTGATGCACAGCTGTGTATCTAGCTATACAAGATTTAAATTAACTGATGATTGATTCAATTTATTCCTTGTGATAGTACGAGAGTAGACGTCGACTCAATCATGAAGAAGCTAAAAAGAGAAGAGAGAAATGGCTAAACTCAAGTGACTCTCTATAGGGTTAAAAACATAATATTGTATAATAAATAGATATAATTACAATTATTGGACAATTGAAATCTAAGTTGATTGAATTTATGAAATCTTTTGTGCCTATGAAATCAATTACTGTACATCTGAGTACGTGGATAACTGTAGAAGATGTTAATACCGAATAATAAAACGAATTATAAGTTCGTATATCATTTTAAGTTACAGCAACATGATTACGTTGATTTTTATGCGTGTAAAGATGAGATATGGCAATAACACCTAGCAGAATTAGCTACCATAGTCTTGTATGAATTACAACTAAAATCCATGTACTGTGTGTGGATGTACCCAGACGATAGCCAGCAAGCAAGTATGCAAGCATGCTGAATCCATATACAGTATACAGTAAAAGATATCACCATTTATAATTTGGAGTATTTCAGCTTTAGAAAAAGTCGGTCGATTCAGAATCGACTGTCTGCGTCCATACCGGAGTGTTTGGCACAATTTGTTGACAAAATGATGCCAAATGTCTGTCCGTCCAAATGGTATTTCTAAACGAGTCTATACAGTACCCTATAAGGTGTAAAACGGATGTCGTCTAAAATGTCTACGCCACAGTGTAAACGACATCTAACCTATGACATCTGTTTTCACCATCAGTAAAAGGACTCTGTTACACATGCAGGGACGACTGTCTACTATACTGTACTGTATATTTATTTACAGTTGGAATAAATGACGCTACATTCAGTTTTATTTTAACTAATGGCACCATAATGTACTGATCAGCTTCGAATTAATTAATAGTTTAGTTTGTTCATCGGCAATGCATGTGTTATACTGTACTACTACTTTATTTTAATTTGAGAGTGCGGTACAAATTCAGTAGTAAACAATCGACATTAGTATAGTGTACATATAGTACTGTACAGTACTATAGCGTACCGTATTGACTATACTACCAGTATGGAACGATACTGCAATACGCTACTCCGAACTGCGCATGAGACGCTTCAAAATTTTAGGCGGGAGAACGATGAGTTTATTGTTGATAGCTCTAAGTTGATATAACTAAAACTGCTCCATATTATCACCCAATACAAGAGAATTTTACTTCAGAAGGACAATCTGCAGAAACAGATATACCGAACTGATCCATTTTCTATCCTTACACAAATTTATTTTACATTACTCTACTAGCGTTACTAATTTTCAATAATTTCAATATTATATCGTGCATATGCGAGTACATCAAGTTTTCTTCAAGTGACGCTAAATACTGTTGAAAGAGCACAGAAAATGGGTTAAAAGTTTAGACTATTCAACAGTTTAGCTAATTCGAATACAATGCAGAGTCTACATTTATATTCTACAGGTTTCACAAAGTTTTATATCGCACGCATACTATTTGCAAACAAAATATGCCGTCTAATCCGTATACAGTACGTCGCTCAAAATGCTCAGAAACCAGATTATACTATAGTAAATGGAGTCATTCGCACTGATTGATTCTAGATGTTAATACGGATAGCGATATCGGTATTCAATGTTTTACAAACTATTCGAACAGTAGGCAATAGTTCTACTGATCCGGAAAAAAATAGAAAGTTAAAAAACTGCATACTATATAAGGTAATTTTGCAACGGCATGCCCAATTTATCGAATAAATTGACTTTCGATAAAAATGTGGCTTTGAAAAAAGCCGTTGTGGAAAAAGAATTTAGATAATGTTAAGAAGTGATGGAAGTAAATAGGTGTTGATAATTTATTTCTTGGCGGTCTTTTTAGGCTTGACAACCTTCTTGGCGGGTTTAGCCTTTGACTTCTTAGCCTTGTCCTTCTTGGTGGTAGTCTTTTTAGGAGTGGATTTCTTGGTTGTAGGCTTCTTGGCAGCTTTCTTGGCTGGCTTCTTGTCTTTCTTAGCAGCTGGTTTCTTTGCCGCTTTCTTAGGTGAAGCAGCCTTCTTGGTTTTAGGCTTGGTCTTTTTGGCGGGTTTCTTGGCTGCAGGCTTCTTCTTAACGACCTTCTTCTTTTTGGGTTTTTCAACCTTCTTGACTAATTTGAAGGATCCACTAGCACCTAATCCCTTGGTGTGGATTAAAGTACCACTGGTAACACCTCGCTTTAAAGCAAGCTTGATGTGAGTTGAAGCACTTGTTTCAGAGATTTTATAATTGGCAGTGATCCATTTGGAGATGGCTTGACGAGAAGAGCCACTACGTTCATTAAGAGCGCGGATGGCTGCTGAAATCATCTCAATATACTTGGGATGGGCTGGTGCAACCTTAGGCTTGCTTACCTTCTTGGCTGGGGCAGCTGCGGCTTGGTCGGAACTCATAGTGAAATAACTTTCTTGTTACTGAGAGTGCGCTTGACGACAAATAAGTAACTAAGTGATCGGGTTGGTGTGCACGCCTTTATATAGCCAACATGCGGACCTAATCGGAGGCAGTGTTGTTGAGGGTGTGGATCATTCATCCTTAGAGCATCATGGCGTCAGGTTTGTGCTTCTTCTTCGTGCGGCGATCATGATTTTAATCGTTTTAATTTGATAGAATGATGCTAGTTTTAGGTTAAAATATGCAATGGATGCTATTGTTTTGCATTGTAGGTTATTTTATAATTTACTGATTAGAATTGGCAATTTATTCATTAATTTAACTTTACATCGTCGGTCTCCATCATGGAAATTTTTGTTATAAATGTCGATTATTTCCTAAAATGACTCTACCTTGGCCAAAGTGGCATAGGAACAAGTTAGCACACCTCTTATATCGATATTGGCAAGGATAACTTGAGGTCAATTCAACTGGATGCTAAATTAAAATTGATAATTCTGATACCAACAAACACATGTCCGGTTACCAATGGCTACCTTCCCACTGGTAACGACGTCCTCCTTCGCTCGATTTCATTTTCATCATGGACGCTTTCTCCTGTCCAATGGATAGCTCTATGGGCTATCTAAGGTTAGCAATAATCATTTTATCCATGTACAACGTATCCTAATGAAAGAAATGGCAAAATAGTCAAATTAAAGAGTCTATTTCCATTCAGTCTAATTCATCACATAACATGGCAATTCTAGCGAGGATGGATGGACGGTAGGTTTGCCTTCAGGTTAGAACACAATTTAAAATGGCAATTAATCTTGTCCAATTTTACTTTTTATGACTTATTATGCTTTCAAATGCAACTTTGCATGATTGGTTATCCTATCAATCCATTAAAATGTTGTAATGAGTGAAATTTAGCAATCGATTTCATCAAAACATTTGTATGGTACAAGCTTGGAAAATCGACGCATCTATTGTCACAATCGTCCAAGGTGCAAATCCTGACCAATTGAACCTTCGCTCAAAATGCTATCCTCTATAGTATTTTCATGCCATAAAGGCTACAAAATTGCGATATTCAATCATATTATGCTCGATAATGATGTAGTTTCATTATTTCATCTCATTCTAGCTAAAGAAGGAGTTGGAAATAGCTTAAATATGATTTTAATCGAATTTACCATGTCGAATCCAACTGCTGTTACGTCACGGATGCATTGATGCATCAAGCCTTGACAATAATAATGGATGATCAACAAGGCGAAATGAGAGTCTCTTAATTCCCGTTATGATTTATTTTGCCCTTAAATAGGATTTTATCTTTCTCCCTTTTATCCTGCTATAGTAGAATTCTTATAGGATTATTTTGGGGGGAGGTTTATCGTCATTTTCAGCTACATTTCCAACAAATTGGCTAATTTCAATTTTTTCAAACTGCCCCAAAATTCATTGTTGTATTGTAACGCTATTTTTTCTCTGGTGGAAAAACGCAAGGCCCAAAGTTGACATACAACAGTCATCAATAGCATTGCTAAAATTACCTTATGCAGTAGTTCTCCATCTAAGAGTGGATCAACTGATAGTTAGTTGGCCCCTTGAAGTATTTTTATCATGTCTATTAGTAAGAAATGGGGTCATATTTTAAAGTAAACGCTCCATCGGTTAAGCCATGGGCGGATAACGTGAAAAAAAACTCGGTGACAAAACGACGCGTAACCAATCGCTTGGTGAGGAACAAAAGAGGGCAACCAAAAATGCTAGAAAGTAGAGAAAACTTTTTTAAAGTTAATCTACTTGATTGACCGAGTTGATAGGAAATTAATACTATCAATCATGATGATTTTTATCCAATTTCTGTTTTTTGGATGCTTTGATCAACCATTTTCTTCCATCATTGAATTGATACAGTGACCCTATGTGTTTTTTCGCCAGCGAAAAAAAAAGAAAAGTCTTTTTGTCTTGGGGCAATCGGATTTTTTCACGGCATCGACGTTCGATTTCATTTTGAATTAGAACTATTTCTTGCAATGGTTCAAGGGTAAAGAATTTATAATTTTAACAAGGATAAGAGAGTTGCAATGATCGAGTGATTATTTCAATCCATTCTTATTGAATAACTTGAAAAATAGCTGTAAGAATTTCCATACCTTCCGCAACGATTTTTTTGGGGTGGGGAAAAAGTGGGTGAGAATAAATTCACTTCGCGGTCAAATTTTGGAGGGAGATCGATATTTTTAGTGGAAATTTTGACTTCCTCTTGTTTAAATTATTATTTTCTTACGCAGTGGATGTACTATCATCTTGTCTATGCTCGAATTGTGTCAAAACTTTCCCTATCTATTTTTCGCCATACAACAACAATTTCGCTTTTAATAAAAAACACTTTTACGCTCGACTCCATTGTTACACACGTACTTTTATGTGCAACTATCGTCTTCTCTACGCTTGATGATATTGTCCAATAAATACTTCCTTGCTGAATATTGCTTGATAGATCAATAACTTAACTAAAATAGATTGCATTAGCTTACAAATGTGAACAAATTGGGAATAGCTTCACGAATACTAGACACTTTTTGTTGATAGCTAAACTTCGACACCACGACATTACCATAAGGAGTGACTACTACTACCGTTCTACTTGATATCATTTTAATTAAATTTTAAAATTATCATGTCTAAACATTGTATTTTACAATAATAAAAATTGAAATAAAAAACTATTAAAATATTCTTTCCTAATCGTCTCGCAATTACTGTTGATGAGTATGCATGATATCGTTTCATAGACATAAATTACGACAAGATTGGAGCTGTACTGTAGTAGATCATTCCCGTCTGCGATAGCTTTTGACTTTGCTGTGACTAATTTTAGCAATCGCATATTGTAATCTTGCCAAGTAGTTGATCTAGTCAAAGAATTGCGTTCCTGTAGGATAGGATTGCAATCTTTTACTACATGCATGCAAAATTACCTTGCTAACTGCAATCGAGTTATACGCCTTAATGAATTATAGACGTAAAAGTAGATGACTAACGGTAGGTAGAAAAATATGTTGGTTTGCATTTAATGCTCAACTGTTTCCTTACTGTCACAAAGCCGAGAAATGCTTTGAATACCTTATAATTTTCTCGACTTAGTAGCTCATAATTAACACATTTCAAATGGAAGCAGTAAAAGTAGTTGCAGGAAATAAGATGATAAACGTTTTCTTTATTCAATTGCTTACATAGCCATAACGAAATATCCCAAAACATCCTTCTTCGCCTACCATATATACACTAAAATTTTCTAAAACCATTGATCGATTCATCAAGGCCGTAACTGAAAACTATACCCAATACACAAACAAAAAATCTCCGGTATCATTCCAATTCGATAGTGAAGACTGAGAGGGAAAAAAGAGTTAAAAATTTCCGAACTAAACATAATTACAGTATTTGTAATGTCGTTTAATAACGAAGGTTGAATAGAATAACTTTAATTTTCTTGATATTTTTCTGCAAATGTTGGTTTGTAAGCCGATCGGATTGCCGTAAGAGTTGGATGGCAGACGATGAAATAAAATCGATAGCCAAATACAGTCATGTAACAACGAGTGATACATAAACTGGCATTCATGGCTACTGTGCAAGATAATAACATTAACCTAAATGCCACTAATAATTCAAATAAACATTAAACAAGATCTTTATCTTCTAAGTAACGATACTCGAAGGTAAAGCCTTCTTTCTTCCGTTGTTGCCACTTTTCAAAATCGAAATAAACGTAAGTTCCCTAAATTAAAGTTTTGATAACAATAAATTCATGTAGTGAGTACTACAATATGTATAATAATGTATATATATATACATTAGGCTGATGGAGTTATGAATAGCCTGTCATTTATAAGATTGAATGAACATTCCTCTAGTGTACAGTAAACAGAATGAAAGGCAATTCGATTAAAATAGTCTCTGTACCTGTTCGAATTCTTCTGTAATCTGCTTAGGCTCTTCGTGACGTTGAAACCACATCATGTACTTGGTATGAAATCTCCATGACAACTTTTTCAAAGCCTTAGCTGCTAAATACTGGGCTCTTGTTCCCTGCAATAGAATACCATGCATTATAATTTGCAAATAAAGCAAACTGAATAATATACTTCATTCTCGCTTAAATTAATGTACTAACTTCAAGATAGTAAAAGATAAAGAATAACGACTCTGGATGTAAGCGTTGAAAGTACTCAAAAGAATCTGAATGTGCAGGTGGATTTAGATAATGATACGCTGGGATTGGACATGGATTCTTTGGTAGGTATGTTCTACGAGTATAAGAATTTAGACATAGAGTCACAAATATTAATAAAGCCAGTAACCCCTTAAATCAAATAGTTACATATAAAGTGGCCAATTTTTTGAATCAAGATATGTTGCCACCATACCTAACACGGTGAGAGTCAATGGGTTGAGGAATATGATGATAAGCCGATTCTAACATTGCAAGTTGATAGCATTTCTCCTTATTTAAAGGTACAGGTCCAAGAGGAGCAACACCAAGTATAGGTTTCACACTGATATCCGGTAGCATTGAATCAGTTGAACTATCTTCATTAAGTTTTGCTGCACTTACTGGCAAAATACCTGCAATAAATGAAATAAAAGGCCCCAGTTCATCTATTAAAGCAAAAGTCGCAAGAGTTACGATAAGCATTCTACCATAGTTTACTTACTATTCTCTTGGCCAAAATCTAAAGGTACATGATTTGTTACTGATGGAGTTGAAGAGCGTGAATTGCTACTAGGTACAGTTGAATTACTTTCTTGTACAGCTTCAACCGCCTGTAAGATAATATAAATGTTCTATTAATCCCAAATTTATTGCATTATTAGTTTTGTTATGCTTCGATTTCCGTACCTCAAAAGCAGTTCCTTGAAGTTTTGTTACGGAAGCAACCGGTGACATAGAAGTCTGCGATAGTGTCGTAGCAGGTTGAGATAAACTCGAACTATTATTATTATTACTATTATTATCGCCAGGTATTCCAACTATTGAAGGCGATATCGCCGAGTTAGGAATCGAACCTACTCCAACATTAGAGGAACTCGTCGCACTAGCATAGCTATATACGTTAGTTCTGGTCGTTAAATTCTCTTCAGATAAATGACGTTGAGGTAGACTAGGTGATGGAGCTGGGGATGCAGAAACAGGTAATGGTGAAGAAGATTCCGACGTTTTGGTCGATTGCGAACTAGATATGGAAGGGCTATTTTGACCCTCTAAAAATTCTGCAGCATCTACAAAATCAGGATAGTTCTTGTCATATAGAATTCTGTATAGCATGCAGCATCAAAAGTATTCACGATGTAACAAGTCTATAATATTCGCACCGTAATTGACAGAACTATCTTGTTTTACACCCTGCTTTTTTGCTAATCCACCAGCAATTGTTGCATATCCTGTCATCCCGGTTGTTGAAGTCGCTATTGCGGATGTTACAGCACTTTTTGCGTTCGATTCAGAAACTGATGTACCTTTGCTACTAAATAATCCAAAATATAAAGCTCATTATAATGTTTTTCTACCTTAGAAAAGTCATGCAATCATGTAGCCAGTAATTATTGTATTATACCTTGATGACATGAGATCCTCGCCGTTACTTGAAAGTGGAGTAGAAGCTAGAATTTTGTCGGAAACAACAATTATATTATAATGAAGAGTCGCACAACCTTTCAGAGTCCTCCAACATTATCAGTAATAAGGACTGAGATATAATAGTTCATTTACCATTTGATTTTATCTCGCTTGTGCTTGTGATTGATGCTGTGGTTGTCACTGCTGAAATGATAGTCGTTGGAGTTGAGCTTGAAGGAGAAATGGTCGATTTCTGAGATGAACGTTGTCCACCGTTATCTTTCGAATTTCTTCCTTTTTTAGAACCAATCTTAGAAAAACATTAAAATGGACGGTACGGTATAAATAAATAAAAAAATATGATGACGTACATAACAATTATAATAATAAATTCATAGGTATTATATAAAATTTAACGACTACTTTAAAAGTAGAAAAATATGATTAAGTTTACATACATCGATAGGATCTGATTTGGCTGGTTTCTTCTTATCGTCTACATCGTACTGCAATAGAGTTGGAACGGATTTTAAGAATAATGGCATCGTAACACTCCTTACAATAATTATATTGTACCTGCTTTGAAGGAGTTCCAGAAATTGCTGAAACTGGCGTTGTCCCTATAATTATTATACATGCATTAATACAATCTTTTAATACCATACATTGTCATGTAATGCTCAAAAATGTAACGAATAAATTATATAGACGTGCAACCCATATTATCAAATAGAATCTTTGTAAAGAAGATGCAATAGAGAGCTAATTTAATCATAGTAACAAACCATGGCAGAAATTTTACAGTAAAATATAGATTTTAAAACAGCATTTCACACTAAATAGGTATGCTAACCTTGAGCTACATCATCTAAATTTAAAGCATCATACATGTCTTCATTTTCGATAAAATCAGGATCCTGTATTATCATAGAATTGAGCGACATTAGATGAAAACTGTAATAATCCTACACCAAGATGCTAACACTAACCTGGCAATCGTTTACATAGTATTCGACATCTTCTTGGAGGTCTTGGACCTATTATTAGCGCATAATGGAAAATTATACAGATGGAATGACTATCGAGTAAAGTATTGTGGAATACTATACCGCGTCTGGGGAAAGCGTATTGTTTTCCAGGAGTCTCATTACTAACTAGTGATAATTAAAAGGTGTAACATTAGAACTGCGTTTACATTAAATCAAAACCGATAAAGTTAGCCTACTTCCAAATTTGTGATGTGATAGTTATGTTTTTCTACTAGTTCCTTTAAACTCTCGATTCTATCACTCCGCTGTTAGATACACATAGCAAAAAAGATAGGTAAATAAAAAAAAAATTATACAAAGATCCAAAAACTGAGCTCTATCGTAAAGCATCAACGCTTACTTCCTTGTCCATTTTCTTCTTTTTCGTTACTGCACTCATTGCTTCAATTTCTGATTCAAATTGATCGACCTGTAAGAGTTGCATATTCAGGGTAAATTAAGTCGATTTAAGAGCAAACGATATGTTCCACTATAGCAAGAAATTGACAACTATTTTGCTACTTTACCTGTCTTCGGAGGTCGTCAATGGAATTCTGGAGATTCAATACAATACAATGAATATCATGTGTATTAATCTCAAAGAGTGCGCAATAAATTGCTCAATATTCAAATGATTCAGTATAATATTCTCCTAAGCCTACCGTTAGCCAGTGCCTAATTTTCACCTTTACTTTTTCCATAGGGTCTAGCCTAGTTGTCATACCTAAACCTAATATTAAGCAGAGAAAGAGTAAAGCAAAAGGTATCAGAGTGTGCAAGGATAATAGGATTGGTTGGTTATAAAATGGTCGTGGTAAAATTACTAAATATAGATTGATAATAGCAGATTCTATTTTGAATTATGATATAAACAATATACTCGCAACTCGAACTATGGTATTAAGGCAAAAAAAGCTTCACGTAAATACTCAGTTATGTACCTTCTTTAGAATATGCTTTAGTTTTTGTTTCTCTCTCCACTACCTTAAATCTCTCCATTTGCTAGGTAAATAATTCAAATAGGGGTGGATGAATTCATTATTTCAATGATTCGTATCGCTTATAGTCAGTCAAGGGAAAAAGGCTTTGAAAGACCAAGCAGTTATGATTGATTTGTTAAAATGAGAAATACCTGTTCAATTAATTTTCGGTAGTCGAGTAAATGCTTTTTATCTTTGACATCATTGGATGATAACCAACTTTTCAGTTGATCTCGATGTCGCTGTATAGGTGGTAAATAAAATAAGTCATTGATTAACAATCAATTTCAGAAAGACATTGAAATAAAAAATTTCACGAGCAAGTCGCTTACCTGCAATTTTTTAATTTCTTTCTTTAAATCTGCCTCATACTTTTCTTTCTGATTGGTATTGCTGGCATTATTTAACTACAAGTCCGCAATAAATAATAATTATGTTCTAATTCATTATATCATGCTGGATTGCTTAAGGTAGTCAAAGCATTGATGATATATGTTTGATGTACATCACAACAGCCGATGAGTGTGACGACACAAAAATGTTGCGAAATTCACTCACTGCCATCCCATGCGAGAAAGAGTTAAAGCAAAGAGAATGTTTTATGGCAATACTTTTATAATCAATTTTAGTATATTATCCATGCATATATCATACTGTAGACTATTCAATCGGTAAATATTATCATTCATTTTATCGTTGGCAAATGCAATTTTTTTTCAAATACTGAGAAAATTAGATCATTTATTGCAAAGTTTTAATTGTTATTCTTTAATTATTTCTTGAATAGGATTCGATTGGAATATATTACTATGCCGTAGAATCAACGACAAGGTAAATTATTAAACCGTTATTTCGATTCGATCGTATTATGAAGAGTAAGCGTCTACTACGGGCAAAGTTCTTCTATTTCGTTGTCAAGTTCGTAGTTGATGCCTTATTTTTAATATTACTGTACTAGTCCATCATTATGTATGAGAGTATTAAAAGGCGCAGATATACGTACAAGTACTCGTATAGTAGTATAACAAGGATACTTCCAATCGCCTAAGTAACTGAAATCGCTAGCATTACAGTGATCGCTTGGTCCATTTCAATTAATCATTTCAGTAGTAAATGTAATTTCAATGGCATGTACAGTTGGCATTTAATGTAAAATTACTAATTACGACACTGAATAGAATCGATTAGTAGTGATTCATAAAGGGCTATTTTAAAAAAAATTAAATTATACAGTATTGCCGTCTATTCATGCCACCTTCTAGGTTAACTAGTACAAGTATTTGTTTGAAAATTTTGATCTAAAATACTACTTAGCGTGGGCTACAAGATAATCACAGGTGCCCAGACATTATCGTAGTCCCCAATTTCTATTACTCATGGCAGACGGAGCACAATTTAATTATTTACGATGGTGAAATTTAGTCAAGAAATAAAATACTGATGAATCGATTCAATGTCGCCAATTACTCGTACCTTTTTCCAGACGTCTTCGAACGTTTCAATACCTTCGTTGACTTTTTTAATACAACGGTCAATTTCCACTTGATGATGAAATGATAGAAAGAGAAAGTATAGCAAAAAATGAATAATACGGTCAATACATCGTATAATATGATTAAAGTCATAATGTAATTCAATTCATAATTTCATCTACAAGACCATTTCCCACCGACGATTGTCGTTACAAATCAAGTAAACGATGTGAATATTTTTTTGGTAGACAAGAGTAAAAGACAGTTTTGAGTGAGTGGGCTAATTAATATATATATACGATCTCGTCAAATTAGGGTTAATAGGAAAAGATAAACTACGCGTGGTGGACAGTTGTTGATATGACGACAGTATAGTAAAATAGTGGTATGGAAAACGCCAAGAAGATGACTGAAGATATTGTAAGGAATGATTTCCTACAGCGACTTTATTCATTTGCTAATAAGTGAAGGTGAAA